CAAAGAAAGATTCTACCCTAGAAGAGGCGTGGCCCTATGGACACCTTGACTTCAGGCATCTGGCCTCCAGAAGCATGAAAGAATACATTTTTGCTGTTTTAAGCAACCATGTTGTGGTAATTTGTTACGGCAGCCCTAGAAAGCTAGTACACCAGGCATGCAAATAAGAAGGAAAATAACACCCATGATAAGTGAAAAGCCAGTCAATTGAAACCAACTCCAAAATGGCATATATGTTACAATTAGCAGGCATGAACATCAGTTATTATAACTGTATTCCATATGTCCAAAAGTTAGAGACATGATTTTTTAAAAAATTAACATTTTTTCATATCACAATGGAATAGAAAATCAATAGCAAGAGGAACACTGGAAATTATGCAAATACATGGAAATTAAATAACATGCTCCTGAACAATCATAGGGTCAATGAAGAAATTAAAAAGGAAATAAAAAACTTCTTGAAACAAATGAAAATCAAAACATACCAAAACCTGTGTGATGCAGCAAAAGTGATATGAATAGGGAAATGTACAGTAAGAGACTCCAAATAAACAACCTAACAGTGCACCGTGGGGAACTAGGAAAGCAAGAACAAACCAAATTCAAAATTAATAGAAGGGGGAAAAAAAGAGATAAGAGCAGAATTAACCAAGATAGACACTAAAAAATACACATAGGATCAATAAAACAAAAGGTGGTTTTTATGAAAATATTTTAAAAGTCAATAAATCATTAGCTAGCCTAACTAAGAAAAAAGAGAAAATCCCAAAAAATCAAAAATGAAAAAGGGACATTACAACAGATATCACTGAAAAACAAAAGATCATTAAAGACTATTATGAACAACTATACCCTAACAAATTAGAAAACCTAGAGGAAATGGATAAACATCTAGAGACATACAACCCTACCAAGATTGAACCAGGAAGAAATAGAAAACCTGAACAGACCAATAACAAGTAGTAGGCTTGAGTCAGTAATAAAAAGTCCCCAAAATGAAAAGGCTAGGACCAGATGGCTTCACTGCTGAATTCTACCAAATGTATAAAAAAGAACACCAATTATTCTAAAAATATTTCAAGCAAATTGAAGAGGAGGAATTATTTTTAACTAATTACATGAGCCCAGCATTACCTGGATACCAAAAATCAGAAAAAGACACAACAACAAAGAAGAAAACTGTAGGCCAATATCCCTGATGAATGTAGATGTGAAAATCCTCAACAAAATACTAGCAAGCTGAATCAAACAACATATTAAAAAAAAAAAAAAAAGGACCATGATCAAGTGAAATTTATTCCAGGGATGCAAGGATGGTTCACATAGAAATCAATAAATGTGAAGCTTTGTGCAGAGGCAGTATCATAGCCAATGAGGTTTAGCCACGGTGTGATTATTGCTAATTGAAAACTTTTTCCAATAGCCCACCATGACAACTTGTAATACAGTCAGCATTAAAAATAAAATAATATGACACATTACCAACAGAATGAAGGATAAATACCGTATGGTTATCTGAGTAGACGACCAAAAATTTTTTTTATAAAATTCAACATCTTGGCTTGGCCTTGGGAGGCCAAGGTGGGTGGATCATGAGGTCAAGAGATTGAGACCATCCTGGCCAACATGGTGAAACCACTTTTCTACTAAAAATACAGAAGTTAGCTGGGCGTGGTGGCATGCCCCTGTAGTCCCAGCTACTCAGAGGCTGGGCAGGAGAATCGCTTGAACCAAGGAGGCGGAGGTTGCAGTGAGCCGAGATCATGCCACTGCACTCCAGCCTGGTGACAGAGTGAGACTCTGTTTCAAAAAAAGTGCAAACATACAGTTAGAGAGAAGGAATAAGTTCCAGGGTTTGATAGTCACATTAGGGTGACTATAGTTAACAATAATTCACTATGTAACCTAAAATAGCTAGAAGAGTTTAAATGTTCCCAACACAAAGATAATACAGGTGATGAATATCTTAAATGCCCTGATTTGATCATTACATATTATATGCATATATCAAAATACCACATGCACCCCATAAATATTTATAATTATTATATATCAATAAAATAGATAAACATTTTTAAAAAGAATGTGAGTTTGGCAATACCTTTTTCCACATGTACAAATTCAACATTTATTCAATGGCTTCATCATTGAATGCATATTTCATTATAAGGTAAGAATTTTTTAAATTCTAGAGTTATGATGACATTGATATTTTATGAATTTTAAACAAGGAAACTCAATTTCCTTGCTATAATTAATCCTGTTCTATAGAATACAAAATAATTCTTGAAAAATTCATGTAAAAAATTTTTCATGGCTGAAAGTCATTTACAGTTCTTTCTTACAGAAGTACTTTTGTAACTAAATCATGACCTCAGGTTCTCTCTTTTGCAATTTGAATTTTTTTCACCCATGTGTCTTTTTATTAAAATGCAGCATGCCTAGATACAAACAGTTTAACACCATTGTATAGGCCTGGAAATTAAATCCAGCTGTTTGACCTGGCAATTAGAGCCAACCAAACAGCAGTGTGTGTAGATATTTTTTTTTTCATATGGAGTCTCACTCTGTCATCCAGAGTGGAGTGCAGTGGCGCAATCTCGGCTCACTGCAATCTCTGACTCCCTGGTTCAAGTGATTCTCCTGCCTCAGCCTCCCCAGTAACTGGGATTACAGGCGCCCACCACTGTGCCCAGCTAATTTTTGTATTTTTAGTAGAGACGGGGTTTCACCATGTTGGCCAGGATGGTCTCAATCTCCTGACCTCATGATCTGCCTGCTCGGCCTCCCAAAGTGCTGGGATTACAGGCATGAGCCACTGCACCCAGTCTTTTTTTTTTTTTTTTGGAGACAGAGTCTCGTTTCATTGCCCAGGCTGGAATGCAGTGGCACGATCTCGCTCGTTGCCACCTCCGCCTCCCAGGCTCAAGCGATTCTCCTGCCTCAGCCTCCTGAGTAGCTGGGATTATAGGTACCCACCACGCCCGGCTAATTTTTTTTTTTTTAAATGTATTTTTAGTAGAGATGGGGCTTCACCATATTGGCCAGGCTGGTCTCAGACTCCTGACTTCAGGTGATCCACCCTACTCCGCCTCCCAAAGTGCTGAGATTACAGGCGTGAGCCACTGTGCCTGGCTGTATCTACACATTTGATGACAGTATCTACTTATTGCATATGTCATAATTTGTCATATTAATTTTACAAAGACTCTTATAATGAATAGTATTTTCTCCCGGGATCCCAATTCCAAGAATATGGATCAGTTCACAGACTGACCTTAAATGTGTAATGATTATGAACTATTTGGAACCTCAGCACAGAGCCTGAGAAATGACAGAGACTCCAGGGCAGTGGATATGCACTTACTTTCTTGGTATTGCTTAGTCCGGAGTCCTTGACATTTCAGGCTCAGAACCAGGGCTGGATGAGAAATAGACTGACTTTCTGGGGCCTTGACATTCATTGTAGTATTCTTTGTGGTTATCTGACCTTGCAACAGTACGTCTGCCACAAAGTCCCACTCACTGAGGCCCAGCCTTCTCAGGCTTTGGAAACAACCCCCTTAAGAGGTAAGAGGTAGCATGATATGGTAGGACTGATTTCCAGCTCCAATTCCTATTACTTCTGAGACCTTGAACAAATTATCTCACATTTTTTGGCTTAAATTTTTCATCTGAAACATTGGGTTAACAATACTTAGATATTAGCCGGGCGCGGTGGCTCAAGCCTGTAATCCCAGCACTTTGGGAGGCCGAGGCGGGTGGATCACGAGGTCAAGAGATCGAGACCATCCTGGTCAACACGGTGAAACCCCGTCTCTACTAAAAATACTAAAAATTAACTGGGCATGGCGGCGCGTGCCTGTAATCCCAGCTACTGAGGAGGCTGAGGCAGGAGAATTGCCTGAGCCCAGGAGGCGGAGGTTGCGGTGAGCCGAGATCGCGCCATTGCACTCCAGCCTGGGTAACAAGAGCGAAACTCCGTCTCAAAAAAAAAACAAAAACCAAAAAACATAAAAAAAAGTTTTACCTCTGAGCTTTCCATTTTGGCAAATTCCTAAACTTCCTGAAATAACTTTAAAACAATACAGGCAACTTTTTAAAGAAGGGAATACATGCTCATAAAACCGAGGCATGTTTTTGCTCAAAGCGATAAAGAGAAAAAAAAAGAAGAAAACTGAGGCATGAACTATTATTCTCTCTGAGATAAAATAGATGCCAGGTGTGGTGGCTCACGCCTGTAATCCCAGCACTTTGGGAGGCCAGGCGGGCAGATCACAAGGTCAGGAATTCAAGACCAGCCTAGCCAATACGGTGAAACGCTGTCTCAATTAAAAATACAAAAATTAGCCAGGCGTGGTGGTGTGCACTTGTAGTCTCAGCTACTCAGGAGGCTGAGGTAAAAGAATCACTTGAACCTGGGAGGCGGAGGTTGCAGTGAGCTGAGATTTCGCCACTGCACTCCAGCCTGGGTGATAGAGAGAGAGTCCGTCTCAAAAAAAAAAGAAGAAAGAAAAAAAAAGAGAAAGAAAGAAAGGCTACTTGACCAGTGAGCATGAAAATGACCTATTGCAAATATAGTTACCAGAGTAACTGACCAATTTAAACAACCATACTAACAGTGAGCAAACAACTTTCCATTTTTCTGAAAAAAGCAAGTGTACAAAATGTTTTAAATTTTGTTCAGATTTAAGCATAGGTAGTATCTTTGCTTTTCAACTTTATTAACAACTCTATTGCTACCCCTTTGGGAAAATTTAACATCCTGTCACATTATATCTTATCTGTGCCTCTTTAAAAAAATTACAATTATTTTTGTGCCTGCAACCTGCATTTAACTTGTGGTTATTTGTTGTTTCTTATATTGATCAATGCAATTTCTAGGTACTAATAAGTCACTAAATAATAGATCATAAAAAATTCTGGAAGCACAAGGGGTTTTGCTGCAAGGAACCAAAATTGTAAAGGTGTTATTTGGTGCTATTCAATGTACGTACCAGTGTTTGCAACATGTAATGTTCCAGAAATCATTTTTGGCATCTCCTGGGAAGAGGAGCTCTCTGCCAACCCATCGTGGTTATTTGCTCTTCTCCAATTCTTATAAGGACTTGTAGGTTCACCTTCCAATATACAAGTAACTGCAGAGCAGCCACTCCATTGAACCCTGGACACTTCTTTTCTTCCAAGACGTAAAAGCCTATCCATTCTCCAAAATGCTTTTGCAAAAGCTTTGTGTATGTCCTCAAACTCACATCTTACTGCATCTGTTTTGTTTATGGCAGAAAAGAGGTCTTCTATTGCTGTGTATTCTTCTCTAAACACGGTGCAAAAGGAATTGATTATTTGTTGCTCATCAGTTGTCATTTGGTAAGAAGGATCAAATTTGGAAAGTTGATGGAGAAGTAAAACTGGGAGTTCCACTGATGTAAATTCTGCCGCTGAGGCACCATAATGTCCATCGAACAAGCCGAAAAAACACACGTTAGATTTATTACCAAAATTACTCACTACAGTGAATTTATCATTCATGTCAGCTTTCCATGTAGAATTCCTGTCTTCACAAATGCCCACTCCTTTAATTAATAGATGGCATATTTTTTGAGAATATACAACACTCCTGTCAATGTTATCAAAAATCTTATAGTATGCTGGTGGTATTTTTTTTTTCCAAAGCAGCTCAAAAGCATTATTAATGCTCTGTAGGGTTTTTTCAGTGAGCATAAAAGATGACAATAGTTTAGAAATCATGAACTGTCTCTGAACAGCAATCACTGAAGGCTGTGGTTTCTTTCCACCCATCCATTGGAAACCCAGTGTGGCCAGAGCTACATGTTGCTTCTTATGGAGAAAAATACCAGATAGGTCAATTTCATGCTTGCATATGAAACAGGGTAATGTGGTCAGTTGCTCATAGACCTGCTCCTCTTCATGGCTTTTGGTGTCTCTCAATGCTCTTGACCTTTTCTTTCTAAAACGTCTTCTTTTGGGTAAAAGTGAAATATGCTCATCTGTATCAAATGTCGATGTTTTCGTATTCCATTCTCTTGATTTCCAAAACACTCTGCAAACAGGATGAAAGATATTTTCATACAAGGATGATGCAGTGAAAATCTCTTCAAGCAAGCTCTTATCATTGCAATTTGATTTGGCTCCTCACACTCTTATATAAGCCTAGATTTAAATATTCTGATTCACATTCCTCAAAAAACGTGTAAGTACTAAATTAATTGGTGATTGACCTGTGTCTGCCTGAAATAAATTAGGCAAAAATTCCACAGTCAGCTAGGCCTCTAAACACTCAGAGAAATCAGCACAATATTTTCCTTTAGACCTGTGAAAGTATATATTTGAGACCTGACATTCTCATTTCTAATATGGACATACAGTCATGTATTGCATAGTGATGTTTCATGCAATGGTGGACCATATGCAACAGTGGTACCACAAGATTATAACGGAGCCAAAAAATTCTTATTTTTTAATTAGTTGTCTCAATGTCATAAAGTGCAACACATCACTTATGTGTTTCTGGTAATGCTGGTGTCAACAGACCCACTATGCTGCCAGTCAAATAAAAGTATAGCAAATTCAAGGCGGGGCATGTTGGCTCATGCCTGTAATCCCAGCACTTTAGGAGAGTGAGGTGGGCGGATCACTTGAGGTCAGGAGTTTGAGACCAGCCTGGCCAACATGGTGAAACCCCATCTCTACCAAAAATACAAAATTTAGGCCAGGGGCAGTGGCTCACCCCTATAATCCCAGCAATTTGGGAGGCCGAGGCAGGCGAATCACAAGCTCAAGAATTTGAGGCCAGCCTGGCCAACATGGTGAAACTCTGTCTGTACTAAAAATACAAAAAATTAGCTGTGCATGGTGGCAGGCACCTGTAATCCCAGCTACTCGAGAGGATGAGAGAGGAGAATTGCTTGAACCCAGGAGGCAGAGGTTGCAGTGAGTTGAGATTACACCATTGCACTTCAGTCTGGGCAACAGAGCAAGATTCCATCTCAAAAAAATAAGATAAAATATATAGTAAATCCAAGTATGTATAGTACATAAAACCTGATAATGATAAATGACTATGTGACTGGCTTATGTATTTATGATACTGTAGTTTTAATTGTTATTTTACAGTGAACTCCTTATATTAAAATAATGATAATAACCATAAAACAACCTCATACAGGCCCTTCAGGACGTATTCCAGAAGAAGGCATTGTTAACATAGATGACAACTCCATGTCTTATTTGCTCCTGGAGACCTTCCAGTTGGACAAGATGCGCAGGTGAAAGATGGTAACAGTGACAATTCTTACTCTAGGCAAAGGCTAATGTATGTGCACCTTAGTTGTTTTTTTTTTTTTTAATCTTAAAAAGTTTTAAACAAATTTAAAAAATAATTTTAGTTAAAATTTTTTTTTTTTTGAGGCCGGGCGCGGTGGCTCAAGCCTGTAATCCCAGCACTTTGGGAGGCCGAGGCGGGTGGATCACGAGGTCAAGAGATCGAGACCATCCTGATCAACGTGGTGAAACCCCATCTCCACTAAAAATATAAAAAAAATTAGCTGGGCATGGTGGCGTGTGCCTGTAATCCCAGCTACTCAGGAGGCTGAGGCAGGAGAATTGCCTGAACCCAGGAGGCGGAGGTTGCGGTGAGCCGAGATCATGTCATTGCACTGCAGCCTGGGTAACGAGGGAAACTCCGTCTCAAAAAAAAAAAAAAAAAAAAAATTTTAATTGCTATTTTTTGGTAATATTCATGTAAAGAATGTAGTTTTATGAGCCTTGATGGGACTATTGGGACAATATATAAGACACCACAATACTGTGATTTGATCCGAAGTCAATTACTTATATCGGAACTTCATTTTTTCATATACAGCTTATATATATTACTTATATCGGAACTTTGTTTTTTCATATACAGCTCTATCACACATGAGCCATCATTCATATGTTTGTTCACTCACAATAACAGATTAAATAGGCCAGGCATGGTGGCTCATACCTATAATCCCAGCACTTTGGCAGGCAGATCACTTGAGGTCAGGAGTTCAAGACCAGATGGCCAACATAGCAAAACCCTGTCTCCAATAAAAATACAAAAATTAGCTGAGCATGGTGGCGGGAGCCTGTAATCCCAGCTACTTGGGAGGCTGAGGTGTGAGAATCACTTGAACCCAGAGGCAGAGGTTGCCGTGAGCCGAGATTGCTTCATTGCACTCCAGATTGGGTGACGGAGTGAGACTCTGTCTCAAAATAAATAAGTAAATAAAAATTTAAAAATAGAATTATTTAATTAAATATAAATACGTCAGAATAAGAGCATAGAGAGGAATGCAAGTCCTCTTTTGTATAAGGTAGAGGGCTAGATCACTCTTCAATATATGAGATGAAACAGGAAGCCAGGGTTTCATCTGATAACTAAGAAAGAGAAGGAAAAAAATACTATAGATATAATTATTCATTGGCTATACTTATTATCCGCCCCCAAAATTAAGAACATTTACCTTAAAGCATTATTGATGCTCATGTTCCTTTAGAATTACCTTTCTTTGCCCTCCCTTCGTCCCCTTTCCCTGGCCTCTATTTCTCCCACTTGAGAGTGATAGTGAGGGTGAGGGTAGAGGTGGCCGTGGCTCAAGTAGTGGGGATAGTGATGAGAGCAGTGATGGGCGTTCCCTGACTTGAGGGTAGAGCTCCCTGTGTGGAATGTTTACTACGTCACCTGGAACCTCGGTGACAACTCACTTTATGATTCAGAAGGACTGTGAAGCAGTAACATCACAAGTTATATCAAGTAAACTTTGGAATTTCTGAAAGAAGGAGCATTTATTAAACATACTGTCTTTCTTACTCTCCCTTCCTTTCTCCACCATCATGGCGTATGCTTGACTCTGCTTCTCGTCTGTCTTCTCACAAAACTTTCAGGATCAAGCCTTTTCTGGCCAAGAAACAAAAGCAAAATCATCCCATTCCCCCGTGGTTTCGGACAAAAACTGGTAATAAAATCAGGTAGAACTCCGAAAGGAGGCATTGGAAGAGAACCAAGCGGGGTCTATAAGGAACTGCACTTGAGATGGCACACATAGTTATGTTGTGTGAAGGTCACAACTACTTTACCATAGCAAGCTGAAAATGTTACCACTTTTGGACAGCTGAACATGTTTTATTGGGAATATATTTTTTCTCTCTGTGTGTGCTATGAAGGCACTGGTTAGCTGGGTTCAGTAATAAATATGTGAGTTCTTCCATTTCTCTCTCTCTCTCTTTCTCTCCACATATATATACTGTCTTACTGCTGGACACAGGGACTCATGTCTGTAATCCCAACACTTTGGGAGGCCAAGACAGGAGGATTGCTTGAGGCCTGGAGTTCAAGACCAGCCTAGGTAACATGTCGAGACCCCATCGATACAAACAAACAAACAAAAGAATGAGCATTGTGGCACACACCTGTAGTCCTAGCTACTCGGGAGGCAGGGGGGTCACTTGAGCCTAGGAGTTTGAGGCAGTCAGCTGCAGTCAGCTATGATCGTGCCACTCCACTCCAGCCTGGGTGATAGAGTGAGACCCTGTCTTTTATTTACTTATTTATTTATTTATTTTTTATTTTTCCAATATTGTTTTTATTTATTTTATTTTTGACATGGAGTCTCACTCTGTCTCCCAGGCTGGAGTGCAGTGGTGCCATCTCGGCTCACTGCAATATCTATCTCCCGGATTCAAGTGATTCTTCTGCCTCAGCCTCCCGAGTAGCTGGGACTACAGGTGTGTGCCACCACACCCAGCTAATTTTTAGTAGAGACCGGGTTTCACCATATTGGCCAGGCTGGTCTCGAGCTCCTGATCTCGTGATCCTTCCGCCTCGGCCTCCCAAAGTGCTGGGATTACAGGTGTGAGTCACCATGCCCAGCTGACCCTGCCTTTAAAATAAATAAATAAATAAATAAATAAACTGTCTAAGCCTATGTAGCAGCATGAAAATGTAAGAGGGGTGACTATAAAATAATTTTTTTATAAGCTGTGGCACTTTCAAATAGCCATTTTAGGAGGCTGTCCTTACTATACAAATCGGTTGTCTTCCCCTGCAGCGTTAGAGCTCCTCAGGCCATCTCTCCAGGACACCTCCTCTACCTGCTCTGTAAAACCTGTCTTCCCCGTCTTGCTGTCTCAAGTAACTGCCTGAGAGTTGTAGATCTTGACTGGACTGGCTTTTACAATTATTTCCCCTGCCTTCACTCCTGGCTAATATCTTTAGTTCCTAAATCTTTGATCCACAGCTGTGTGCCACTCCCTCACCCCGAGGCTGACTCAGAACAAGATTACTAGAGCAGGTGGTCTGAATGCTGAAGAACTGTGGACAAGCCCAACTGTCAACTAGGTGTCTCCCTGAAGAGGTATCAAAGTCAACTCAAAGTCGACGTGTTCAAAATGGAACTCACTAACCTTCCCTCCAGAATCTTCTTTGATCATCAACTTACTTTAACTGGAACGTCTCAGAGAATCCTTTTTCCTATGTGGTTCCAGGTTAAATTTGGCCAAGAAGGAATCTTAATATTTCAAACTTTGGGGTCTATATTGGAAAGCTATTATCCTCCAATGAGCTCACCCACAGATGCTGAAGTGTCTAGCATGTTTCTGCTTGTCCTTTGTTCCCCACTACTCTGCCTCCAGCTTTTCCTCCAGCTCCAGGTCTTGCTCACCAATAGCAGCCCCAGGCCTATTAGATGGCACCTGTCTGTGGGTCCACAGAAGCAAACATTTCCTCTGGACTTCCCCATCAGCTTCTCCTTCATTGTCCAACTTTGGCATCTGGATGTTCCTGGCTGCTCAGTCTGACTGGTTAAGGACTTCCCTGATGCCCCAACTCCTCTTCTCAGATGTTTAGTTGACCAGCTTCTCCCACAAACTAATTTTAGCAATAAATTCTTTTTTTCCACAATGCCCAGGGTCTGCTTTACTGATTGAACCCTAGCTAACAGAGGGACCACCACCACCCCTCCTCCCTTTCAGGATATATGAAATTGATCACCAAGACCTGTCAGATCTCTCTCTCTCTCTCTCTCTCTCTCTCTCTCTCTCTCTTTTGAGACGGGGTCTTGCTCTCTTGCCCAGGCTGGAGTGCAGTGGCACCATCTCAGCTCACTGCAACTTTTGCCTCCCAGGTTCAAGCGATTCTCCTGCCTCAGCCTCCCCAGTAGCTGGGAATATAGGCGTGTGCCACCAACAACCAGCTGATTTTTGTATTTTTTGTCAAGACAGGGTTTCGCCATGTTCTCCAGGCTGGTCTTGAACTCCTGACCTCAGGTGATCCTCCTGCTTCCGCCTCCCAGAGTGCTGGGATTACAGGCTTGAGCCACCATGCCTGGCCAGATCTCCCTCTTCAATATCCATCTACCCATCCACTTGTCTCCATCCCCAGTGCTATCTCATGCTTCCAAGAGGCTAAAATATCTTGCCCAGATTACTGCACAAATTCCTAACTGTTCAACTCATTTCCAGTCTCGTTGCCTCTCAGTGTATTCCCCTTAGAGCAGTCAGAGGAGGTGACGCCCTGACAGAGGCCCAGTACTGGCTTGCTGTTGTCTTTGGGATGACCTCCTTAATGTGACAAAGCTCTGTCTCTTTTGGCTTCTGCTAACTTCTCCAGCCCCATCTGTCAGCACTGCTCCCTCATCCCATGCCACTATTACGGAGAGTCATTAGATAAATCTTTGCCAGTTTGGTATTAGATTATTATGACCTGAATTTTTTCTTATTTTTTGCTTTTTAAATCACACTGAATATACAGGCCCTGCATAGTAATATCTAGCAGCTGGCCAGGAGCAGTGGCTCAAGCCTATAATACGAGCACTTTCGAAGGCTGAGGCAGGCAGATCACTTGGGTCAGGAGTTCGAGACCAGCCTGGGCAACATGGCAAAATCCGGTCTTTACCAAAAATACAAAAATTAGCCACATATGGTAGCACATGCCTGTGGTTCAAGCTACTCGGGAGGCTGAGGTGGGAGGATGACTTGAGCCTGGGAGGCAGAGGTGAGTTGAGTTGAGATTATGCCACTGCACTCCAGCCTGGGAGACAGTGAGACCCCATCTCAAATATATATATATATATATATATATATACACACACATATATATGTATGTATATATATGGCAGCTGCATTATCCCCATGCCACCGCAGATGTAGGAAAGAATGAGGCATCTCCAGGCAAGTGCTTGTAAACCCCAGCTCCTTAGGGTGGGGTCAGGCATCTCATAGGGTGTCTGTGGTGTTAATATCACACCTCCACATGCAGCTATCAGGCAGATGGTGATAAGGATAGTAGAAAAACCCTTCACAGAAGTTAACTGATGACTTACTGTAAACTTCTCTTTACAAAGGCAAAAATAGAGAAAGCATAGTTCTGAGATGCTTCCCAAGAGTGAAGATGAGTATATCTCTACATAGATTCTCAGCGGCTTGCTTTCTTCCAAAGTGTATTTGTTGTGTGTTAATTTTGTCCACTAATTGATCGATTATTTTATTGAGTTAAATTAAAATATTGTATTTTTAATTTATTAGACATCCAATTAATGGATTCTCCTTTTTTTTTTTTTTTTGAGATGGTGTTTCGCTCTTGTTACCCAGGCTGGAGTGCAATGGCGCGATCTCGGCTCACCGCAACCTCTGCCCCCTGGGTTCAGGCAATTCTCCTGCCTCAGCCTTCTGAGTAGCTGGGATTACAGGCACGCGCCACCATGCCCAGCTAATTTTTTGTATTTTTAGTAGAGACGGGGTTTCAATGGTCTCGATCTCTTGACCTCGTGATCCACCCACCTCGGCCTCCCAAAGTGCTGGGATTACAAGCTTGAGCCACCACGCCCAGCCGGATTCTCCTTTTTAAAATGTTCAAGTAATACAGAAGTATGCAGAAGAAAAGCAGAGGACACAGCTGCCAAAAGTAGGGTGAGTGTTATTCCAGACTGAGTTTTATGTATTTTTATATATACACAAAAACTTAGATGGTATTCATTATTAAATTTAGGTATAATTTGCATAAAATCAGTTACTCAATTTTTAAATGTACAGCCTGATAAATTTTTATATAGGAACTTACTTGTGGACTCCATCAAATTGTGTTTGTTTTCTTTTCAAATTTTATTTTATTTTATTTTATTTTATTTTTTAGAGACGGTTTCACCATCTTATCCAGGATGGTCTGGATCTCCTGACCTTGTGATCTGCCCACCTCAGCCTCCCAAAGTGCTGGGATTACAGGTGTGAGCCACTGGACCTGGCTATTTTGTTTGTTTTCTATATTTTCCTTTTTTTGTTTTTTGAGACAGAATCTCAACTCTGTCTCCCAGGCTGGAGTGCAATGGTGCAATCTCAGCTCACTGCAACCTCTGCCTTCTGGGTTCATGCCTCAGCCTCCTGAGTAGCCTGGATTACAGGTGTGCAACACCACACCCAGCTAATTTTTGTATTTTTAGTAGAGGCAGGGTTTCACCATGTTGGCCAGGCTGGTCTCGGACTCCTGACCTCAAGTGATCCTCCTGCCTCGAGCTCCCAAAGTGCTGGGATTACAGGAATAAACCACCATGTCAGGCATGTTTTCTTCGTTTTCTTTAGTAAATTGGCAACATAATTACAAAATTATTCTGTAAATGTTTTTGTTCACTTACTAGTATGGATTGGGGATTTTTCAAGTTGGTACTTGTCAACCTGC